GATGCACTGGAAGAGTAGATTTAGCATAATTCTTAAGAGTCCTAGGATTTTCAGAATAGTGAATGAAAAATTGGCTTCAACTTCAAGTCACCAGCTGCATTAGCCCCTAACAAGAGAGTCAGCCTATTCTTTGAAGCCAAGTATTGACTTTTCTCTAGCTACGAAAATCCTAGATTGCATCTTCTTCCAATATAAGACTGATTTGTCTACATTGAAAATCTGTTGTTTAATGCAGGGATGGAGAATCTGTGGCCTTAAGGCCACATGTGGCCTTCTGGGTCCTTAAGTATGGTCTTTTGATTGAATCCAATTTTACAAAACAAATTCTTTTATTTTTATTAATAACATTTCTATTCAACTTTTACATATTTTATTTCTAAAATGAGCATATTTAAAATACCAAAGAGTAAAATAAGTTTTAATGAAATCATCCTCCCAGATTGACCAGCACAGTTAGAACATTAGTAAGCCATAAAGGCTAAATTGATAGCTGCTACACTCATGAATTAGTTCTAACTCCCTTCACTGGACTGGCACCACTACCACCTGAGGCTGGTTGGTGAGAGTTTATGGGGGTCAAGTATTCAAATTGATTATCAGCTTTTGACAGTGGTGCACTGTGTTTCTGTTTGAAGTGGAATTTGTGAATAGTTGCACAGCTCGCAGTGTTTTTTAATTCTGTCTGCTTAATAGCCTATCATGTCAAAGACAAGAGAACACTGAAGGAAGAAAACATATTTTTAAATGAGGATTGGGAATTGCAGTATTATCTCATTTCTGCTAAAGATAAGATGACTGCTTTATGATACTGCAATATCAACATTAAAGAAATTCAATGCTCATCAGCATTTTAACATGCATAGAGGCCACACATATTTTAAATTAGAGGGAGAGGCATGAAAGGTTATATTGCAGAAATTAAAAAATGGAAAGCAAAAGCCAAGACAGTTATTTCAGGCAGCAATAAGACCTGGAAATAATGTCACTGAAGCAACTTATAAAGTAGCTTATATACTCAAGGAAAAAGGGAAGCCATTCAGTGATACAGAAATTGTGAAAGAATGTATTGCAGAAGTTATAGAATGCTTAGACCCCAATAACGTTTCAAAGTACAAACAACTGCCTCTTTCCAGGAGAACCATAACTGCATGAATGAGCCTTCAACTTAATGGAACAACTTCATGCAATAAAAGGAAAATATATATTATTCATTTGCTTTGGATGAATCAACTGATCCTACTGACTCAGCGCAGGTTTTATACTTCATTCAGATCATAACAGAGGATTTTCTTTGATACAAAGAATTACTCAGTTTGGGCACTGTTGTGAACAGAACATGGGAATAGATATCTTCAGTGGAGGAATAGATATCTTCAATAACTTTCAAGATAAATGTGAAGTTGGACTGAATTTGTTAAATTTAGTGAGCATATGTACAGATGGTGACTTTCCATGACAGGAAAACATGAAGGGTTTATTGCACATGTAGAAAAAGTATTAACTGATCCAGATGCTCTCATTTCTTTTCCTTGTATCTTTCATCAGCAAAATCTGTGTTAAAGCTTCTATTTTAAGTGACACTTTGCACTGTTATAAGTATTGTTAACTATATTCATGCAAATGCAACAGGCATTGTCAGTTTCATAACCTGTCAGTTGAACTATGAGGTATTGAGTGTGGATTTGCCATATCATTCTAAAGCAGGGGTCCTCAAACTTTTTAAACAGGGGACCAGTTCACTGTCCCTCAGACCATTGCAGAGTGCACATTGTGGGCCTGGGACAAGTCGGCTGCTAAGCAGGACAGGCAGCTGCAGTAAAAACACCTGGCAGGCCGGATAAATGTCCTTGGTGGGCAGCATGTGGCCTGTGAGCCATAGTTTGAGGATGCCGGTTCTAAAGTGTGTTGGCTATTCCAGGGACAGGTGTTAGCCAAAATTTTATCTCTGTGAGAACAGATAAATTTTATGAAGAGCAGAATTAGCAATGTGAATTATTGAAAGATTTCTGTAGAAATGCAGCATTTCTCTGTGGTATCATGTCAAATCAAAACAACTTGAATATTTCTTTGCAAGGTAAAACTAAGTCTAGATATGATATGTGGCAAAACTTATAAGCATTTTGAAAAAAAGCTATCTTTTTTCAAAACACTTCTTCAAAAGGAAATTTTGGATGAACATTTTTCCAGTTAGCAAAGGCCATTGATGAGCAAGATGATATATGTGAATAATTTGAAGAATATACAACTGTTATTAGAATTATTAATTGGAGAATACAGTGAAAGTTTCACTGACTTTTGAGAATCATGACATCACACTCAAATTAGCATCTCAGCTTCACCTAAGTTGATATCATCAAGGCACCTAAAGAACTACAAATCGAATTGATTGAGCTCTCAGTAGATGACATTTTAAAGTCATTGTTTGTACCACTGTTAGTATCACTGAGGACAAGGAAAAAAAAGTAAAAAAAAAAAAAAAATAAAGTCATTGTTTGATGCTAAGAAAGATCCAATTGAAATATGGACAAATGCAGTAAATACCCATGCCTTTGGGCAACATGCCCAAAAAATACATTCTTGCTTTTCAACCACTTATTGCTGCAAATCTAAATTCTCCTACCTAACCCAAATCAAGACACCCTTAAGGTCACAAATAACTATACCCATCTAGAGGATCAGCTGCAACTGTGGACCTCCATGCTGCAATCAAATATTCACATTGCTTTCCAACAAAAAGCAGACACAACGAAGTCATTAAAAGGTTAGTTAACTTTAAAATTAACAAATAGTTTTTATTTTTTGAAATTATTAAGTACATAGTAGTTAGATTTTTTACAAAATAATGTACATTATAAAGTATATGTAATTGAAGCTTCTTGAATGTGGCCTCATTTGATTACAGCTAAATTAATGCGGCCTTCCATCATGAAAAGGTTTCCCAGCTCTGGTTTAGTGTAACAACCTTCATCAATGATCTTAGCCAGCTCTTCTGGATAACTTGCAGCTTCTACATCAGCACTTGCTGCTTCACCATTAAGTTTTATGTTATGAAGACAGCTTCTTTTTTTAAACTTCATGAACCAACCATCTTTTAGCATCAGAGTTTTCTTCTGCAGCTTCTGCACCTCTCTCACCTTTCATAGAATTGAAGAGAATTAGGGCCTTTGGATTAGGCTTTGGCTTAGGGAATGTTGTGGTTTAATCTTCTATTCAGACTGCTAAAACTTTCTTCATATCAGCAATGAGGCTGTTTTGCTTTCTTATCATTTTTGTGTTCACTGGAGTAGCACTTTCAGTTTCCTTCAAGAACTTTTCCTTTGCATTCACAACTGGGCTATTTGGCACAAGAGGCCTAGCTTTTGACCTATTTTGCCTTTCTCATTAAGCATAATCATTTCTAGCCTTTGATTTAAAGTGAGAGATGTGCAACTCTTCCTTTCCCTTGAACACTTAGAGGCCATCATAGGGTTATTAATTACCTAATTTCAATTTTGTTATGTCTCAGGCAATAGCGAGGCCTGAGAAGGGTGGCAAGGTTGATCAATAAATCAACATTTATTAAGTGTGCTGTCTGCTATGGGTGCAGTTCATGATTCCCTCAAACAATTATAATAGTAACATCAAAGATCACTGATCATAGAACACCATGACAAAATATGATATAACAGTAATGAAAATGTTTGAAATATTGTGAGAATTCCAAAATGTTCCAAAAATGTTGCAGAAAGACAAAAAGTGAGTGCATGCTGTTGGAAAAATGGGACTGATAGGCTTGCTTGATGCGGAGTTGCCACAAAACTTAAATTTGTACAAAAATGCAGTATCTGTCAAGTGTAATAAAATGAGATATGTCTGTAGTTGTGAAAATGCTTTGAAATGTTAAAAAGTACTATGTAAATTTAAGGTACTTTATAGTACTTGAGCTGATAGCTATTGTGTTTTCTTGGATGCTAGAATGGAGAACGCAGATTCAATGGCAATTAAGTTTTTAAAATTTATGAAAAAGTACAAAGTAGTATATAATTTCAGAGTAGTATTGTTGTGAATGGACTATTTGGCTGAAGATGGGCTTCAAAGCTAAAATAATACATTCATTTAACACAATTTATTTTGTGCTTCTTATGGACAAGGCTTTGTACCATTGTCGTACATTAAACCATCCCTGGCTATAAGGCACTATGAAATTATGTAAGATTTCATCAGAGAACCATTTAATTTTATTCTTTTTATTATTATTATTGTTATTTTAATTTTAGGGATAGGGTCTTACTGTGCTGCCCAGGCTGTACTCAAACTCCTGAGCTCAAGTGATCCTCTAACCTCAGCCTCCTGAGTAGGTGGGACTGCAGCCGCGTGCCAATGCACCTACCTTGTTTTATTATATAAAAAATTTTTCATTCTTTTTCCCTTCGTGGAACTGGATATTTAAAAATTAGATTCTAGTTACTGATACAGTTTTAGAGTGACATGGAATTTTTAATAGTAGCTTTTCTGTTATTTGATGTTTGCAAAGGGAGTGTTTTTGTACTTTTACTGTTACATGATGGCCTTGTATTATTATTATTATTATTATTATTATTATTATTATTATTTTGGAGAGAGAGTCTCACTCTGTTGCCTGGGCTAGAGTACAGTGGGGTCCTCATAGCTTGCTGCAACCTCAAACTCCTGGGCTCCAGTGATCCTCCTGCCTCAGCCTCCCAAGTAGCTAGGACTACAGGTGCACTAATTTTTTTTTTTTTTAATTTTTTTGTAGAGTCGAGGTCTCTTATGTTGCCCATATTGGTCTCTAACTCCTGACTTCCAGTGATCCTCCCCCATTGGCCATGCAAAGTACTAGGATCACAGGCTTGAGCCACTGCACTTGGCCTGATGACCTTTTTTGAAAGCTTATTTCACTGGTTTAAGAATTACTAAAAATATGATTTGTAATTAAGAAGCTATCTTTTCATATTTATCTACTAAATTCAAATTCATTACTCTTTCTGTCATCATTATAGTCTATTGCATCTGCTGACATGGATTTCAACCAGCTGGAGGCGTTCTTGACTGCTCAAACCAAAAAACAAGGTGGGATCACATCTGACCAAGCTGCTGTCATTTCCAAATTCTGGAAGAGCCACAAGACAAAAATCCGAGAGAGCCTCATGAACCAGAGCCGCTGGGACAGTGGGCTTCGGGGCCTGAGCTGGAGAGTTGATGGCAAGTCTCAGTCAAGGCACTCAGCTCAGATACACACTCCTGTTGCCATAATCGAGCTGGAATTAGGGAAAATTGGACAGGTGAGTTCAACTTTAATCAATTTCCCTTTGTAAACTTTGTTTTTCATTATATATTAGCCCACACATTCAGATTGATTTTTTTGAAACAGAGTCTCACTCTGTTGCCCTGGCTAGAGTGCCATGGCGTCAGCCTAGCTCACAGCAACCTCAAACTCCTAGGCTCAAGCAATCCTTCTGCCTCAGCCTCCCGAGTAGCTGGGACTACAGGCATGCGCCACCATGCCCGGCTAATTTTTTTCTCTATATATTTTTAGTTGTCCAGCTCATTTCTTTCTATATTTTTAAATAGAGACAGCTACTCTCTCTTGCTGAGGCTAGTCTCAAACTCCTGAGCTCAAATGATCTGCCCGCCTCGGCCTCTCAGAGTGCTAGGATTACAGGTGTGAGCTACCAGGCCCACCCAAGATTGATTTTTATATAAAATCTTCTTTGCAGTGATAATAATAATAATAGGAAAAAACACTTTTCCTAGAATCTCTTTTCAGAGGTAGAAGCATCTGAAAATTCAGATATGTCCAATTGTGGACACTCTGGAAACCAGCCTCAGGGGCCTGGCAGCTGTCTCAGAAGAACAGAATGAGTAAATAAGGTGATTGCACAGAATTGGTCACTATAGCATTTTCTTTATGTCTCAAAATCTTTGGAATTTGGTTAGAATCTCCAAGGCAGTAATAGAGATACTAAACAAAGGCCAAGAATTGAGATTAAACAACATACAACAAAACTATCTCAGTCATCTTTATAGTCATTCAGTTATAGGAGACAATGTATCTTAATGACATTAATGCATTGTTAATACATTAATGACATTAATTAAAGACTGTGTCCTTGAGCTCACAAATAATGCTCAATTTGATCTTGATTATTTACAGAATAGTGCTGCTTTTCCTTGCAGTTTCCAGAGTTTATTAAAGCATAAGTCAGATTATGTTCATGGCTTCCCATCACACCTCAGTGGCTTCCTATCTCAAGTCAGATCTTTTTTTTTTTTTGAGACAGAGTCTTGCTTTGTTGCCCAGGCTAGAGTGAGTGCCATGGCGTCAGCCAAGCTCACAGCAACCTCAAACTCCTGGGCTCAAGCAATCCTGCTGCCTTAGCCTCCCGAGCAGGCATCGCCACCATGCCCGGCTAATTTTTTCTATATATATTTTTAGTTGGTCAGTTAATTTCTTTCTATTTTTGGTAGAGACGAGGTCTTGCTCAGGCTGCTTTCGAACTCTTGACCTCAAGCAATCTGCCTGCCTCGGTCTCCCAGAGTGCTAGGATTACAGGCGTGAACCACTGCGCCTGGCCTGTAATTTATTTTACTTATAATCTTGTCTGTGCTCCACATTAGCATGTAAGAGATGGCCAGTATTTTTGCTATTTTTTTCATTGCTGTATCCTCAAGGTCTAGGATGCCGTTTGGAACAGTGTTGAGTAAATATTTGTTGAATGAATAAGTGAATCACATAATTCAGTATTTTCTAAGCATCTACTATGTGTTAGGCGCTATGTAGGAGTTGAAGATAGGTCAGGAAATAAAACAGACAAATTTCCTTATGGAGTCAAAGAAAGTTGGTAATAATTAGTGTAAGAAATTACATCAGAGACTGAGGAGTATTACCAAGGCTCAAAAGATGGAATAAGGCCGGGCTCAGTGGCTCATGCCTGTAATCCTAGCACTTTGGGAGGCTGAGGTGGGAGGATCACTTGAGGCCAGAAGTTTGAGACCATCCTGGGCAATATAATGAGACTTTCATCTCTATAAAAAACTTAAAAAATTAGCTGGGCATGGCGGTGTGCACCTGTATTCTTAGCTACTAGGGAGGCTGAGCCAGGAGGATCAGGCTGGTTGGGCCCAGGAGTCCATGTCTGCAGTGAGCTATAATCATGCCGCTGTATTCTAGTCCAGGCAACAGAGTGAGATTCTGTCTTAAAAAAAAAATAAAAGTAAAAGTTAAAAAAAAAAAAAAAGATGGAATGACTATCTTTACCCTGGAAGTTGAGGAAGCCAATTCTGAGAAGGTAACATTTGCACTTGATTTTTGTGACAACTTCAACTTTCTGATCCAGAGTTGAGAGTCATGAAATAAGAACAACTAAAAAATTGATACAGTGAACATACCCTTGCCTTTAACACTTAGATGTAACTTTTGGCAATGATTTAGTATAGGTTCCTGACGATTGCCATTTCTTTCTCACCACTTCCTACATGTTCGTTTTCCATTTTCTGAAATCACAGGCAGTAAGAAGTACCAAGAAGTACATTGGCAGAAAAAGCATTGGAAGCAAAAGCAAGATTCATGTAATGCAGTGGTTCACAGCATCATTATGTATCAGATTCACTTGAGGAGCTTAAAAAAAATTATGGATTCCCAGACCCCACCTCAAAGTAAGGGGCTTCTGCTTTAGTTTGAGTGAGGGAAGGCTTCTCTGAGTAGATGAGCTGACCTTTGAATGACAAGAAGGATATAGCCTCAGGAAGATCTAGGGGAAAATACAGGCAGAGGGAACAGTCAAGGCAAGAGTTTAGCCTTGGTAAGAAATGTAAATTTTATTCTAAGTGTAATGAGAAAACATTAGAGGTTTTCAAACAATGGAATGATGTGATATGATATATTTTCTATTAGAATCACTTTGATTTAGCTGTGGGAATGGATTATATATATATGTGTGTGTGTGTGTGTGTGTGTGTGTGTGTGTGTATATATATATTTATTTATTTTTTTGAGACAGAGTCTTACTCTGTTGCCTGGGTTAGAGTGCCATGGCGTCAGCCTAGCTCATAGCAACCTCAAACTCCTGGGCTCAGGCAATCCTCCTGCCTCAGCCTCCTGAGTAGCTAGGACTACAGGCATGTGCTATCATACCTGGCTAATTTTTTCTATATATTTTTAGTTGTCCAGCTAATTTATTTCTATTTTTTTTAGTAGAGTTAGGATCTTGCTCTTGCTCAGGCTGGTCTCAAACTCCTGACCTCGAGCCATCCTCCCGCCTTGGCTTCCTAGAGTGCTAGGATTATAGGAGTGAGCCACTATGCCCGGCCGAGAATGGATTATATATTAAGAATGAAGCCAGGATACTGAGATCCCAGAAAAAAAAATCACTAGGGTTGGAATTGTTGTTTTGTACATTAAAAATAATTCTCTTTTGTTTCCAGATGTGTATGTGATGATAATTAGGTAAAATGGGATCTCAAGATAAAGAAGGAAAAAAAATTTAAAAAAAGCTTCATCCTTCGTGCTGTTAACAAGATTAGGTATTCAGAAATGAATGGAGCCAATATTAATATTCCACTTCAAAAAATAGTAGAAATGAGTTTACATGAAGTTCTGACAGTCTCTATTCTACATTGCCATTTTTGTTCCTCATTTATGACACTTCCCTTTTCTTTCAAAAAATTTTTATTGTAACGTGTTCCAAAATTTGTCTGCCAAACCCAGGAATAACTAATAAAAATCAGTATTGTTGGGGGTAGAGAAATGAGGACACCTCTTAGGGGGCTGGTACTGTGGTCCAGGTGAGATAATATTAGCAAGAAAGATGGAGATAATTTTAACAGTCAAAGTGAAGGGAAGTGAACAGATAGAAGATAAGTTTTGAATATAGATTAGTTGCTTTGAGATAACTTGGAAGGGATGTAGGGAATTAGAGAAAGTGAGGAATTGGGAATAACTCCTTGTTGTTTCTTGCATGAATATGTTAGTATAAATTGGTAATCCTATAGACTGAGTTGTGCCAAAAAAAAAAAAAAAATTGGTAATCCTAGTGACCTAATCATTGTAAAACAGTCTTATTGCTAAGTTGACCATATAATATACAACTTGAGTTTTTTGATTGCTGTATTTAGCCCTTCTAAGAAATTATTTAACATTTGGCAGTTAAGAAAATGCTGTTTGTACTGAAGTAATTTTATTTTTAAATTTATAAAGAGATGCATTTGAAATTACTGAACTTAAATTTTTCCTTAAAGGCTTAAAAAAAATAATTGTTTCTTATGATGTACCCTTTCTATGTGTATATTATACTTCAATAAAAAGATTTAACGAGGGAGAATGAGAGATAAATGTCATTGCAAACTCATTGACCCTTTGCGAATAGGGCTTTGGCACTGCTGAAGTCCTCCCGCCTCTGACTAGTGCCAACACGCAGCCCTGGTGTCGGACTTCTTTCAGCCATTCAGGCTGTCTGTTTTATTCTTATGGACAGATGGGGTGCTTGAGAGGAAGCCAGGAAACCAAGCCTTAAGAGGACTTGGAAGCAATTTTTGGATGTAAGTTCTTTGTCCTAAACTCAGGGTAACAGTGTATCCTGCCCAGCAATGCTGAACTGCTTGTGTTTGTCTGGTATGTGTGTACTAGCTGGTTGGCAATGGGCTTCGTTCCATGTAGGCCACTGCTCTACTGCCAAGACAAATGTAGAAGGCCTCTGGCCCAAGCCCATTTCTTAGTACTTTAAAAAAAATTGTGGTAAAATATACATAATGTACAATTTACCATTTTAACCATTTTTTTTGTACACTCCAGTGGTATTAAGTAATACCTCTATCTATTTCCAGAACTTTTTCATTATCCCAAACAGAAATTCAGCACCCATCAAACAATAATGCCTCTTTGCCACCTCTCTGCAGCTCCTGGTAATAATCTCTGTTCTACATTCTGTCTCTATGCATTTACCTATTCTAGGTACCTCATAGAAGCATACAATATTTGTCCTTTTGTGTCTGGTTTATTACTTAGTGTAGTATCTTCAAGGTTCATTCTTTTTTTTTTTTTAAGACAGAGTCTCGCTTTGTTGCCCAGGCTAGAGTGAGTGCCATGACGTCAGCCTAGCTCACAGCAACCTCAAACTCCTGGGCTCAAGCGATCCTCCTGCCTCAGCCTCCCGAGTAGCTAGGACTACAGGCATGTGCCACCATGCCCGGCTAATTTTTTGTATATATTTTTAGTTGGCCAATTAATTTCTTTCCATTTATAGTAGAGACGGGGTCTCGCTCTGGCTCAGGCTGGTTTTGGACTCCTGACCTCGAGCAATCCGCCCGCCTCGGCTTTCCAGAGTGCTAGGATTACAGGTGTGAGCCACCACGCCCAGCCAAGGTTCATTCTTGTAGCGTGTATCAAAATTTCATTCCTCCTCATAGCTGAATAATACTCCATTGTATGTATATACCACATTTTGTTTTTTCATTTATCTGTTGATGGATAAGTTGAATTGTTTCCACCTTTGCTATTGTGACTGATACCGCTATGAACATGGGTGTACAAATATCTATTTGAGTCTCTACTTTTAACTCTTTTGGGTATATATCTACAAGTGGACTTGCTAGATCATATGGTTATTCCATGTTTAACTTTTTAAGGAGTTGCCAAACTATTTTCCACAGCATTTGCACCATTTTATGTTCTCTCCAGCAATGCATGAAGCTTGCAATATTTGCACATCCTCATCAACACTTGTTATTTTCTTTTTTTTTTTTTTTTATAATTGCCATCCTTATGGATATAAACTGGTATCTCATAGTTGTGAGTTGAAACCCTTAATGATTAGTGATGTTGAGCTTGTCTTTATGTGCTTATTGGCCATTTTTAGATCTTTAGAGAAATGTCTATTCAAGTCTTTTGCCTATTCTTTAATCAGGTTTTTTATTTTATTTTTTATTGTTGTTGACTTGTAGTTCTTTTTTTTGAGACAGTCTCACTCTGTTGCCCAGGCTAGAGTGCCATGGTGTCAGCCTAGCTCACAGCAACCTCAGACTCCTGGGCTCAGACAATCCTCCTGCCTCAGCCTCCCAAGTAGCTGGGACTATAGGCATGCACCACCATGCCTGGCTAATTTTTTCTATATATTTTTAGTTGTCCAGCTAATTTCTTTCTAGTTTTAGTAGAGACGGAGGCTGGTCTAGAACTCCTGGCCTCGAGCGATTCTCCCGCCTCCACCTTCTGAATGCTAGGATTACAGGCGTAGCCGGGCAATAGGGTGAGACTCTGTCTCAAAAAAAAAAAAAAAAAGAAGTCAATACAGAGGAAGTATATCTCATTTTTAATAAGTACTTTAATAGTCTTGTGGATACAGTAGAAAAACCTGACATGAATTATGATAATAAAGTTAGTGAGTGCATAGTTAGTTGAGTGGTGACATCCAAACAGTATTGATCACAAAATGAATTTGATCTTTCATCCTGTGATACCTGTCCTCCACTCCCTCCCCTATCTTCCTTAGTCTAGGAAAAACAGCCTAATCTTCTAGGAATATCATTTAAGGGTTCATGATCTATCATCTGTTTATATTATACTGTCCAACCAGTTGGACTGCATTTTCCACACATGCCATATTCTTTTCCTGTTGCTACTTGGGTTGTTCTTTATCCATCCCCATTTTCACTTGATGAAACCCTTTCACTTCTTCAAAGCTCATATTACTGAATACCTCTGCCATGAATTCCTGGGATATTTTGAACCTTTCTTTAGCTTTTAATACAATTAGATTTAAAAACACAAAAAACAAAACCTATATTAGTGTCAAACTAACTTAATTAAGTCAAAAAGGAGATTAATGAGTTACATACTTAGGAAGCTCAAATGTGATTCCTGGCTTCAGATATCTCTTAACTGTGTCTGGCTCTTTTAAACAAGCTGACTTCATATAGAGGTAACATGATGTCTAGTAGGTCCAGATTCATCTCTATAGGTGCTCCTGTCTTCCCAACATTTGTATATTGATTAAAGGTGGATTCTTATTTTGCTTGATTAGGTCACATGGCTACCTATGGAGAAGTAATTGTTTACTAGAATTAGGCTAGTTTAAGTTTTCTGGAATTAGAGTAGTATTCGCTCAGCCCTTTGACCAAGGGTAAGGGAATGTATAGATTGACAGCTAATACCACTGGGAATAAGTGAGGAGCACTTCCCCAAAGGAATTAGATGAACAAAAATCAGTATGGTATAAATTGTACGTTTGTCAAAATAAGAAACTAACATTGGTACTTTGTTACTAACTAAACTACATATTTTATTTGTATTTCACCAGTTTTTCTATTCATATTTCTTTCCTGGTCCGCAATCCAATCTAAAGTACTACTAAATTGCTAACTAAACTAACTAAACAGCATTTACTTGTCACGTCTTTGTTTTTCATGAGCATGAGAATTGTTTACTTATTTTTCAGCTTTACTGAAGTATAATTGGCAAATAAAACTTGTATATATTTAAGATATAAAACTTGATATTTTGATACATGTATACATTGTGAAATGACAGTCTTGAAAAACACTAGCCAGATATCCTGTAGCATATTCCCTAATCTGGGCCAGACTGTTTTTTTTTCTTCTCATTGTTAGACTGGTTTATGGGTGTCTTAGTCCTTTTTGTGCTGCTATAACAGCATACCTGAGACTGGATAATTTATAAAGAACAGAAATTCATTTTCTCATAGTTCTGCAGGCTGGGAGTCTAAGATCAAGTCACCGTTAGGTTTGGTGTTTGGTGAAGGCCCCGTCTTTGCTTTCCAGATGGCTCCTTGAACACTGTGTCTTCTGGAGAAGATGTGCTCTCACATGGCAGAAGAGAGCAAACCCACCCCTGCAAGCCCTTTGTATAATTGCACTCATCCATTCATGAGAGTGGAGCCCTCATGACCTCACTTCCCAAAAGGCCTCATCTCCCAACACTACTGCACTGGGGTTCAAGTTTCCAACACATGAATTTCAGGGGACACATTCAGATCATAGTAATGGATTTTAGGAAAGAATACAACAGAGGTGAAGTACCCTTCTTCTCACACCATTTTAAGGGGTAATCCACATATTGTCACTGTTAATGTTAACCCTCATCACTTAAGGTAGCATTTACCAGTAAAGTTCCTATCTTTCCCTCTCTCTATTCTTTAGAAATTGCTTTTTATAATAAAAATAGAAATAAGAAATAAATCACTAAGCGCAGCTCACACTCAAGAGGAGGGGAAATTGGCTTGATCTTTTAAAGGAAGTATCAGAGAATTTGTGAACATATTTTAAAAATAATTTTTTTTTAAGAGATGAGGTCTCATTCTGTCATTCAGGTGAGAGTGCTATGGTACAATCATAGCTCACTGCAACCTCAAACCCCTGGTCTCAGACAATCCTCTTGCCTCAGTCTCCTGAGTAGCTGGGAATACACGTGTACCACCTTGCCCAGTTAACTTAAAATTTTTTTTTGTAGAGATAGGGTCTCACTATGCTGCCCAGAATGGTCTCAAACTCTTAGCCTTACATGATCTTGGCCTTACAGGATCCTTACATGATCCTGCCTTTGCTTCCCAAAGTGCTGGGATTACAGGCATGAGCTACCACACCTGGTCTTGAACATGTTTTAAATCTCTATAGTACATTCTGTGGCCACAAATTATTTACATGCATCCCACATACAGATTATACTCATCCTCTCCCAGTATTCTGCAGAAGTCTCCTTTACAGCATTAGTTTATCATCCAGGATGTTCTCATTTAAATTAGGTCAGTTTTACATGAGGCTTCTCAGATGTAGTTCCTTAATTTCAACTCCTGGAGTACATTACGTATCTATTTGAAGAATCCGTGAAAATAAAGAGGCAAATTGCCCCCAATACATCCAAGGTACAATGGTTGGACATGCATATGACATCCACTATAGACATTATGGCTTAAAAGGGAAAATGTCAGCACAAAAGTATTATTATTTCACACCATTTCTAAAGTTTAGCTGGGCACAGTTGGTAATTCCTTGATTAAAATTCAGGCCTGGGAATAATTCTTCAGAACTTTTAACTTTGCTTTCTGGGCTTTGGGTTCCCCACTCTGAGTTACCCTTCCTTTTCTGTGAAAAGCAGCAAAATAGGCTGTGTTTACAGCTGTGTAGATTTCTCTGCCCACTTCTTGCCTGTAGAAGTTTGAGAGTCCAAGACCCCTTTTTCATTTTGTACTATTTCTGTCTCTTTTGGTCCAAATGGGCAGTTTTTTCTGCCAATATAATTCTCTTCAAAACTTTGTAGGTCTCCTGTAAATATTATTTGGGCTTACTTCATTAGACAAAAGCCACACCTAAAAATTTCTTCGAGATAATCCTTCTTGAGATTCTGGTGAGGGACTATGGGTTTTAGTTTCTTAGAAATTCTACTATTTGATTAAAATAATCTGTAAATCACACCTTTAGAAGCTTTAAATAGCCTTTTGTCTAGTTGAATAGTA